ACTAAACCACTGCGCCACCACAACCACATTGGTGTATGCATGGTGTATACACAAATCCAACTTCAGACGGTGTACTGATCACCGTATAGTACAAGGTGGATTCAGAGTCAAGACCGTGGTCTGTTTTCAGAACAAGAGTTGCAGGTTAACACTTTCGGCGCGTTCATTCTTCAAGCCGGTACAATCAGATAGAAGGAAGCAATGAGACAGTTGAGGAACATATCTGGTACAGTCAGCTTGAAGTCGGGAGAAGCAGAGAGGTGGGTTAGTCCAGTCCCCGGGGAAGTGGATGAGTGAGCTATGCACTGAGTCTGGGTCAGCGTTAAACGGAGCGCTGATACTTTCGGTGCTCAGCCTGAGGTCATTCGGAGTGCTTGAACTAAGTATCTCAACACATACACACACACACACAAACAGGCGGAAGATAATTGTTAGTGTTCGAAGTCAACTAGCTCTTCACACTGAGAAAGCTGATTCGATGTCAACCGAATGTGCACAGTTTCTACCCCTATGTGCAAAAATGAAACTTGAGATCTCTCTACTCGGTCACTTGTTCACGTGAGTTGATTTCCAATTCGAGAGTAGGGGCAGATTTCATGTGTCAATCTGTTCTGATCTGATAGTCTATCGTCCATCATTCCTCGCAAAACCAAAACGACCATCCGATTGGTAAATAAACATCAGTAGGCTCACTTTTTCATCCCGTATATCATCGGCCTGGATGGATCGAGGTCGTTCCATGGCAATCAACGAGAGAATTTGCATCAAATGATTCTGGACCACGTCACTGAACGATCAAGGAAGCGCATGTGGGACGAGTCAAGACGCCATCATAGACAGGGGATGATTGAGGTCGGGTAAGACGGGAACAATGACAAAAGCAAAAAGACAGGTTACTGTGACTTAATGCGATTGAAAGTGGGAGGCGAAAATGTATCTATCCGGCACAAAGTGATGAGTCCAACTGCAAAAGGCTCCAACAGGAATGGACGTGGTATTGAGTCACTGGTTCAGTAAATACTATTCTACCTATTCATTCTATCACGGAGATGTGGCCCGAAAACCACAAAATGGGGAAATAAACTACCGGTAAGAAACGCCAGGTAACAACCATCAAACGCATGACCAATACATATGAGAGACCGAAAAACAAACTGTGAAACGAGGTTGAGTGCGGATGTGTGTGTGTGTATGTGCGTGCGGAGAGAGAATTTATCATCCGGTTTCAATGTACGCTTTGTGAATAGAAGCTGAAACGAGAGGAGCATAAATACACATGCACACACACACAGAGAGAGAGAGAGAACCGAGCAGATCACATCGTTCGCAATATGAACCGAATGAATAGCGTGCAAGGTCAACACGCAAGACACCCAACTAACTAGTTAACCAACTGTTTTGCGATCAGCAAAGATTTATTCACCAGTTGTCCCGACTAATCACAGATTGCGAACTAAAACCTCGAGAAATGTGTTTGTGCAGTGCACTCTGGGTCTATTCGTGCGTAAAGTCATACTTGGGTTTTGTGACCTGAGATATGGTGGTCGCAAAGCTGAACGATTATGAAACCTGAAATGGGTTTAATCATCCTATTATTGTGATCGAGATGAATCGGAGAGTGAATATGTACGTACACAAACCGTACGTGACAAAGTGGATCAGTTTCGGATATAGTGAGAGAAAAAAAATCCGGGGAGAAAGATTGAACATGGCCCACAGTGATGACCGACACAGAGTGTATCAGCTAAACCCAGAGAGAGAGAGAGAGAGAGAGCGAAAATGAATATCCGAGGTACAAACACGAGAAGGGATGAGAATTAGCAGCAATTAGATCTTTCAGTGACCCCTTTAATTTGCCCCTCGGTCATATTAGATGGTGACTGTGATCGTAAAAGAAAGA